TGTTGGAGTTTTTCTTAGCAATTTTTATCGAGTGAAAAGTGTGTATAAAATATTAATCATCAATATAGACTAATTTTTGTTTTAATCGATTTTGACAACATTTTCTGCTTGCCCCTGTTTTTCAGTTTATTGCCATTTACCACTTTACCCCTCGGGTTTTGTTGGTATAATTAATCTAAAACGACGCCGTTTAGCTGTACTATTAAACGACGCCGTTTATGCTGCACTAATAAACCAGAATATTATTCATTCGTCTTCTTGGAGAGTTTCTTGAATAAGTAGAAGTCCCGCTCAAAATTGGAGACGAACCATTTTCGCCGACGACGATGGCTGATCCGGTGAAAGGAATCTGCGATGAAACTGGAGTTTCTCGAGAAGAAGCACTCTTTTACCTCGAAGGATTCGAATGGGATTTGGATTTGGCGATGGATGCTTGCCGCCTCTTACGGTTAAATCAATCTTCGCCGGAGGTTTTGGTGAACGAGAAATATGCGTCGCGGAAAACGCCGGAGAAAGAACCGTCTCAATCTAATAATCAACTTATCGAAACATTGATGGGAATGGGATTATCTTCACAATCGAGAGCTACCCAAAGCAATAACAAATCGAGAGCTCTTCATCTAGGTAAATTTACTGTCTTCTGCTTTTGCGATTCTTATCTCCGAGAATTAAAATCTGTTTAGGTTTTCTTTCTGATTCGAATTCTCTCATGTGAATTTCTTGATTCAAGAAACCTGGAATTTGTTGTGTTTTGGTGATTTCTTGATTCCCAAGAAACCTGGAATTTGATGTGTTTTTAGTATATCTGGTTTATACCGGTTAATTATGATGGTTTATCACACTGGTTAACTGTATATATATACACACTTGTACAGATTTTTTTATACTCAATGAAGACAAATCGTTTATTTACTTATTTAGTGTTTGACTATTTGTGTCTTGTTTCGGTTTTCTTTTTGCCAGAGAAATAGAAATCAAAGTTGAAGAGCCACAAGAAAATTCTCTGCCGCTAGCACCAGGAAATACGCCGCAAGATGCCGCAAACCAGTGAGACATTTTAACTAACATATTTTTTTT